AAAAACCTTCATGATAATATAAAAAACAACTTAATTATTCTTATATATTTTCCAAATAATTGTCATTATACAATAAAAAAAAAACTTAATTATTCTGATATATTTTTACTTAGATTATTTAAGTTATTTAATTAGAAAATTATTTTAAGTAACATAATTTAATTTATTAATAAAATCAAGATAATTAATTAATTTTTTTCAATAATTATTATTTGTCTAATATGAGACTTATTTTTTTCTCGTGGATTTCAATTGTTTTCTTTCTGCAAACAAAACAATAATGCATATATAATTAGTGTTATGAGCATATTAATTAATAAATAAGAATTATACATGAGAAAATACAAATAAGAACAACAATTTTCCTTTCCTTTAGTTATTCACCTTTAGAGTTTATCTCTACTTATAGTATTACTTCGGTTGTCAATTTTAGGCCTTTTCAAATCCCACATAAAACTTCGGTTGTCATTTTTTCATTACTCGAGAAAATTAATTAGACAATTCACATTCCTTTTTCCAATTACAACAAAAAAATATGTACAACCCTCTATATTCCTTTTAAGTGTTTAATTAGAAGGTTAATATTGATTTATCAAGATACTTTAATTTTTATATATTTATAATAAATTAAAACAAATTGCAATTAAATAATGAAAAATTCTTTGGTAAATCCGTTAAATCTACGTGGCAGATGAATTAAATAGCCGCGTCACCAAAACAGTAACCATCTAAACAAATTGACCACATTACCCTTTTCATTTTACTTTGTTTCTCAAAAAATTGGATTCCTCGTTCTTCTTTTCTCAGATATTCGGTTCTTCCGAAACCAAAGGTTGTTTTTCCAACACAACACCTTTTCTTTCCTTTCTCTGTCTCTTTCAATAAACTTGTGTAATAAAAATTTCTTCTATCTTGTTCTTCCTGTTTTTTTATATTATTTCTCACCTCTCACTCACTCTTATTTTTCTGATTTTTTTTTCTCTCAAGTTCTTATTATATTCAGTTGCTATGATGTTTTTTTAGTGTTTTCTATTTGCTCCTCAGTATTCATATATTTTGAACTTTGATTGATTAGATAAATATATTGTTGATTTAATTTACATGTTTTTGTTATATTTTATGATTCTGAAAAGTTGAGTTTGCTTTTGCTGATGATAACTTATATGTTTTGACTTTCTTAGTGATTTATGAGTGAGTGGTTTTTTCTGTTTATAGTTTCCATGTTTCTAATTATTTGAATAATTGTACTTTCTTCGATCTTTGAAATTTTCTGAATTATATAATGAGTCTTACAGCTTCACATTCAGGAATGTCTAGAGAAGTCATGGCTACTTCATCTGCTGCTCCTTTTGATTATGAGATCTTGGATAAAGATCCTGAGACCCCTAGAGCAGCTGTGGTTCAATCCAATCGGACGAATCCGTGGATTGAGCCTGAAACTTTGAAACTTCAGCATCGGATTGGTCGAGGACCCTTTGGTGATGTTTGGCTTGCAACTCTTCATCAGTCAACTGAGGATTATGATGAACATCATGAAGTTGCTGCTAAGATGTTGTATCCGGTTAGAGAGGATCATGTGAAGATTGTACTGGAGAAGTTTAGTGATTTGTACTTTAAGTGCCGAGGAGTTTCTAGTGTTTCGTGGATACATGGAGTTTCAATGATCAATGGAAGGGTTAGATTTGGAATTGCATTTGTTTTAACATATAGGATATTGTTAGATGATACTACCCTTTGACTTATATCAGGCTTATATGCGTTGGTTTGTATTCGCAGATCTGCATCATTATGAAGTTGTATGAAGGTTCAATTGGTGACAAGATGGCTAGATTAAGAGAAGGATGGATTTCATTACATGATGTTTTGAGGTGATGTGTTTTCAGAGAAATATGTTATATTCGTCCCTAAATATAGGACCCTGATTGACTAAATTAGGGAATTAAGAAGGTTGATGGTAATATTAATATTTGATAGTAATTTACAAGTTTACTTTTTGGACTGATATAGAACTCGAAGGCCATGGATTCGGCCTCATATAGACATGATGGGCCTATGATATTATACTGAACATCCAAGCTCACCACTTAAGTCCAACACGCCAGTGCGTGAATAACCCTAAACACGGCCATCTCGACTTAAGATTAAGAGAGTGTCTGCCACCTCCAAATGGGATTATGGGCCCAAACATACTAGTATCTATAAACTCTATTATGGTCACCCTAGCATAAGGATATGTTCGACCACTGCCTCCACTCTCTTGCCCATCACGGGAGAAGGTGTTAGCAATTGCGACCAGCGATCATCGGTTTTACTAGCAACCTTAACCGAGTTGCTCTATAAATAAGACATCAGCTCTAATCATCCAATCATAACTCTAAAACACCTAGTTCTATAGTACATAGCTAGCATAACTTCCCATTACCTACCTATACACCTGCAGGGCCTTGTCCATAGCATCTTGCTAGCAAGGTCCATCCTCACTGAAATTCGAAAGATGTCCTATAAAAAGTGACACCGAAATTTCTAGAGAGTTTTATATTTAGGGACTAAGTAGTACATATCTTTGACATTGATATCGTAGGGGAAAACTACTGATCAATACTAAGAGCATGCTGCTTGTTGCAGGTATGGGATCAATCTGGCTCAAGGTATTCTGGAGCTTCACTCTAAGGGGATCCTTGTTCTGAACCTTAAACCTTGCAATGTTCTTCTCAATGACAATGGTCAAGCGATTTTAGGAGATGTTGGTATTCCAAATCTTTTGCTTGGTTCCTCATTCGTTAGCTCAGATATCGCTCAGAGGCTTGGAACTCCTAACTACATGGCTCCAGAACAATGGAAACCAGAAGTTGGAGGTCCTATATCAATTGAAACGGATTCATGGGGATTTGGTTGCACCATTGTTGAAATGTTGACTGGTAATCAGCCTTGGTACGGATGCCCTGTTGGTGGAATTTATGGATCAGTTGTTGAAAAGCATGAAAAGCCGCTTATCCCAAGTGGCCTTCCTTCTCCCATCGAGAATATCCTTAGTGGCTGTTTTGAGTATGATTTAAGAAACCGCCCTTTGATGGTAGATATTCTGCACGTCTTTAAAAGGTTTGTATCCAGATGTGATAACTTGAAACCTTTTTTTTCTTTTCTGGTAATATTTCCGATTCTTGTTTGATTTAGCATGGACTTGTATGTACATGAGCATGATAATATTTTCGGTTAATTTCTATTTGTCTTCATGCAGATAAGAAATGCTTTATATTGCATATTAATCTATTGTTAACGTTCGTCCTATGCTGCAGCTCGCTGAGTAAACTGGGCAATGACGGAGGATGGAGATATCAAGGAAATATGAAAGTAATTGCAAAATCAGGCAGCACTGAGTACACCGAATGGTTCCTCTCAAAGGATCACCTGCAGGTGGGCGACATGGTCCGATCCAGAAAGTCTCCCAACTCATGCAAAGCTCAAAACATGGATGTCCCAGAAGGAACTGTTGTTGGTCTAGAACGTACTGCAGATCACGGATTCGTTCTTGTGAGGGTCCACGGTATTCACGACCCTATAAGAATTCATGTGTCAACTCTCGAACGGGTCACTGATGGCTTGGCAGCTGGTGATTGGGTACGTGTTAAAGACAAAAACCAGAAGCACTCGCCAGTTGGCATTCTACATACCATCAATCGTGATGATGGTAGAGCTGCTGTTGGATTTATCGGGCTGCAAACTCTCTGGAACGGAAACCCTTCTGACCTCGAAATGTCAGAATCACTCTGTGTAGGACAGTTCGTTAGGCCAAAAGAGAATATCTTAAGCCCTCGATTCGAATGGCGTCGTAAAAGGGGAGGGGCCTCAGCTACCGGTCGGATTTCGTGGATTCTTCCAAATGGGTGTTTGGTAATCAAGTTCCCAGGGTTGCTGACTTTTGGAAACGAATCAAACACCTTTTTGGCTGATCCTTCTGAAGTTGAAGTGGTTGATTTCAAGGCTTGTCCTGGGATTATAGAAAAGTATCAACATGTCGAGGATCATCACTGGGCAGTTAGACCTGTTCTAGTTGCACTTGGCATATTAACAGCTTTGAAACTAGGTATATTAGCTGGAAACAAAGTAAGGAGGTGCAAGAAGTTTAATGCAATAATAGAAAGCAAAAACCCACATCTTGAAGGTCAAAACCCCAATAGTCCTACAAGGAATATAATAAGTCATGGCAACACAACCTGGGTTCCTTCAGTTGCTAATATCCTTTTTAAAGATGGTGCTTAACACTTACTCTTGTATACAAAATTAAGTAACTAATGCATACATCTTGGCATTAGCTAGTCTTTGGACTGGTGAAGCAATTACATCATCTGTACTTAGATGCTAGTTTGAAGTTGAACAATATACATAAGTTATGTTAGTTCTGATTCTGAATGTAGAAGTTGTACATATCCTTTAATGGACTAGCTATGTATATACAGTTTAAACAAATACTTTGCAATGTTTATTGAAAATTTCATGTTCTGCTTATATTGGATTTTATTATTAAGGGAAAAGTGAGTGTGAAGTATGCTATGAATTAAGATACATTTGTGTATTGATTCGGGAATACACAATTTTCAGTTGGAAGAAACCATTGCAATAGAAACCACAATAGTTGAATGCAAAAGGCCAGAAAATGGGGCTTATTATTCTTTCATATACACTAGTTTGATGGAGAGCAACCATGCAAAACTGATAAAATATTTGTCATCAAAACAAATACACTTTGGATGTAGCTATTACAACAGAATAGAGTTTCCACCTGCACAATTACACAACAAATACACTTTGGATGTAACTATTACAACAGAATAGAGTTTCCACCTGCACAAATACACAACAGATACAATCGCTATACATTAATTATCTTGCAAGCAAAGTGAATATCTTGTAACCTACTTTTTGTGGTTAACCTTGCAATGGCTTATAGCCACAAAAATAACAATGTCCTTCTACAATGAGTCATCCATTTGACATATCTTCTAGCTTGCAGCTATAAGACCAGCATCCGACACAAGTTGCTCCGTCAATGCCGAGAGTCGAGCAACTCCTGCTTTCACCACAGCTAAACAGTCTATGCAATTGATATTTGAGATTAAATCGAGTTTAATGTCATTGTTATTTTGCATGGCACTGATATAGCTATCAGCTTCAACACTCGGGATGGTTTTATTCAAAAGTTGTTGACTCATTTCAGCAAGTTTCTGCAGAGCACTAGTAGCAGCTTTAACCTCAAGCTGAAGCTTCTCTATTGCCAAGTCATCCATATTTTTCTCATCGATTCTCGTCTGCGCCAAAGCATGCGGCATTTTATGATCATTAGCATCTTCTATCACCTTGTCCCTTGCTCCTCTTAACTCTTTCTCTTTCGCTTCCAATCTTGCAATAGTCATTTTAAGCTCCTCATCTTTTATTGTTAGAGCCTTCTGTACTGCAAGAATTTCCATCTCCTTTGTTTTTAAGCTTTCCTTGGTCAGCTCGAGCACATTCTCAAGCCGTTTTTGTTTTAAACTCAATTCATTAGTAGGCTCCTCGGAAAGTTGCATGGTTAGTTGACCGCTCAATTCATCTAGTGGTCTTGATGAATTGATGATGTCTGCTTCATTCTTAATGGAAGCAACCAGTTTGTTTGTTAGATCTAAAACTCGTTCTACTACAGTTTCGGCTTCAAAAGCCTTCAGGGTTGTATTATTCAGCTTATTCTCGATTACCTTCACATGCTCATCTTTCTCCCTTAACATATTGGTTGCTTCAATAAGCTGTGTTTCTTTGTTGTTCATAAGCATCTTAAGATCAGAGATTTCCTGGTTTAGTTCCACCAGCATCTTCCTAGCACTGGAAAGTTCCAAGTCTTTCTCCTCTAAAAGAATCTGAAGAGAAGCCTTTTCAGATTTCAATTGCTGGATTTCTAGCTTAGCATCAACAAGCTCTACCTCTTTGATATCAAGAAGAGAACTTGTTTTCTTAAACTCGGCGCGTTTTATATCTAATTCCTGTTGAAGCAAGGATGTTTCTTGGACAGCCTGCTCCAAAGAAGCTCGCTCTTTCTTCAGCTCCTCCTGTAACTCGTTCATGAGCTTCTTCTCTGTGGACAGATCCAGTTCGAGTTTTTTATTCAAAGCCTCAGCAACCCTAAGTTTCGTTCTTTCACTCTCCACTTCTACTTGGGCATTTTTTAAATTTTCCATGTACAACATGACACTCGTTCTTTGGTCTGCAAGGTCAGCCAGCTGCTGTTCCATCAACCTTTCCTGTACTTCCATTTTGTTCCTAGAAGACGCCAACGATTGCTGAGATGAAACTAACTCAGACTTCACATTACTGAGAAGCTTTTTCACCCTTCTGAAATCCTCAAGTGTTTCACTACTCTCACGCGCATGCTTTGAAGCTTCCTCTTCAAGTCTCTTAAGTTCCTCCTGTGTTAACAACCACTCCATCGCTTGCTTTTCTAAAGAGGCCTCCGCAACCTTGAGCTTTTCTCCTTCTAATTCTCTCTCAGCCACAGTAACACGCAGTTCATCTTCTCTTTGTCGTACAAGTTGCCGAAGCTCTTGAAGCTCGATTTCTTGTTTGTACACAACTTCGTTTGCTTCACTCAGAAGCTGAACCTTATGTCTAAGCTCAGAATCAACATTAGCAGCTTCTTCACTCTTCTTAGCCAAAGCAACCCTCATTTTCTCCACCTCTTCTTCCTTCAAAGACAACGCATCATGTAAACCACCAATCTCACTATCACGATCCCTAAGCTGGATCTTCAATTCCTCAATCTGTCCAGTTTGAGAAACCAAACTAGCCGTCGCCTCCTTCATCTCCTCTTCAAGCCTTTTATACTTCTCGCGAGCAGCCTCAATTTCACTCTCTTGACGCTCTAATTCCTCTTTAGCATGCTTCAATTTCCCATTCTCCAATATAACAGTTCTCTCAACTTCCTGTAAATGATCCTCCTTCTCCTTCAATTCCATGAGCGCCGATAAAAGATCAGACTCAAAATCACGAAGATACGGATCCTCTCCTGCCATTGTCCGGTCCTCCAGCTTGTGCGTCTGCTCAAACAACCTCTCAAGAAGCCTTGCAGATTCCGGCGCACCATAACTGTTAAAACTAGGTCTATTATCACTCAACACTGACCTAACACAAACACCATTCCTTAACCAGCGATCTTTTCTTCCTTGAGTCACAACAAAACCTATTCTGCTACGAAGCTTCCTATTGTACCTTAGAGAGCACAACAACTGCACACACACATTCCAAATCATGATTCAATCAATATTCATTATTCATATTCCAAACTGATACATCAAAGTTGCTATTAAAAAATTTATTAGTCACTAATCCGTCAAATTTTCACAAGTTACACTTAAGGCCTGTTTTTATTGACTTATTTGAATTTATATATTAGTATAGGCTCTGTTTAATTTGACATATTTTTGGGCTTATGACTTATAGTTTATAAGCTCATATGACAACACAAGACTTATTTGATTCATTTTCATCACGAAATTATAACTTATTTTACTAGTTTATAACTTATTTTCTAAACACTATTTCAAACAGTGTTTTACTTTATAGCTTATATTTTTTCTTCCACTTTTATCCTTATTATTTTAATTAAAATTCACTTTTACCCTTATTATTTTAACTAAAACTCATTTTTACCCTTTATATATATATTTTAATTTAAAATAAAATAATTATGTATTAATGCAAAGAATACCAAACAATTATGTCATTTTACCGATATCAACACTACTAATTTTATCAAATTCTTCAATTAATTTAACAGCCAATAATTATTATAAGTTATAAAGTAGCAGTCATCATTCATCATCTCTAAGTGATAAACTAATTGTCAGTTAACTGCTATTTTTATCAAATATAGCCTAAATTTTTAACTTATTTTCATAAATTCCCTAAAATAACTTATAAAACATCTTATAACTAAAACAAAAACAATCTAACTTTCTCTTATCTAGAAAAATATAGAACCTAAAAGCACAATAAATTCACACAAAAAATGAACAAACATTCCACATCTCACAATTCACCACTTTTGCTTTAAAATTTGATTAACCACTCCCGAACACGAAATAGTATTAATTTGCATGTTTTTATTTTCTAGTTTCCTTTTTCCGCAAATCCTAACCTGACTATTAATGAATCTACAAAAGGAAGGAAATAGAGAATCAAATTTTCCTTAATTTTTTTTAATACGTATCATTAATTTTCTTTTTTTTTTTATCCACTTTTTTTTTTTGCATAAATCTTAACGATTTTTTTTTTGCATAAATCTTAACGATTTTTTTGTTGCATAAATCTTAACAAAAGTGTTACATCTAGGACTATATAGAACGTAAAAAAAAAAATAGGAAGAGAAGAAGGAACCTGTGAGTACGAAGGAGATGAGGTAGGACGGAGAGAAGATGCAGAGAAAGTCATAGCATTCGGTAGCCGGAAGAAGAAGGTTCCAGAAACAATAGCGTTGGATTGGTTAAAACGACAGTCGTTTTGGTGACTTCAAATTTTCAACGCAGAGGGAAAAGTAATGGCGAAGGATTATTAGCAAAAGCTTGATAATAAGAAAAAAAAGAAAAAGGAAAAGTTTTCGTGTTCCTTCTGGTCAAGAAAAAGCAATACCCTATTCGTTTTATTTAAGCAAATAAATAATTTATTAAATTTAATTGTTTTGTCATATTTACGCTACCTTTTTGTCACGTCAAATAATTATTTTAATTCATTAATAGGCCAATGCATTTTGGAAATGAGCTGTGGAAATTGGTCGACGTAAATGAGAAATAGAGTTGTAACACGTGTAAATGTTTCGACCAATTCGTTCACGTTGGTTTGGCTTGCTCTACACTTGGGTTTTTTCTAGTGGCTGAAATTGAACCACTGTGGATATGGATTGTTTTTGGATATATAGATATAACTAAGCATTATTATTATTATTATTATTATTATTATTATTATTATTATTATTATTATTATTATTATTATTATTATTATTATTATTATTATTATTATTATTATTATAATATTGTATTTATCTTGTAGAGGTTATTATCATAGGACGAGAAAAGGAAGAAAAAGAGGCTAGGGTTTTTTGGCTTGGACCCATGTCATGTTGCCACCTTGTTGTCCAAGTTCAATTGTGTGGGTAAGGATTTTCTAACAAGAGTTTGTTTGAAATATTTTGAGATACCATGTCACTATGTCTATATCTAAGTCGGTTTGATACACAAAAATTATTATAAATATTATATGAATTTTATAACTATTTTTGTATATAAAACAAAGACTATTTATTGAGACTCTTTTCTTAAAATAAGGATTTATTGACACTTTAAAATATGATTAATCATATTCACATTCGTGATTATTAAACAAAGTTTAATTATGTAAAATATCTTTGCAAATTAAGGTTATTTTGATTTGTGTTTGTAAAAAGTTCTTTTTAAATAAGGTATCGTTTGGCCGGATTTATTTTATTGTAAAAGTTACTTTTAAGTTAAAGTTAAAAATAAGAGTTTATATATAAAGTTAAAGTTGTTTGGTAATATTTCTAATTTCTAATTTTAAAATTAATTTTAAATTAAAAATGGTTGAATATGTATCTATAAATTTTTTTTTAATATATAGATGAATTAATATAAAAAATTAAGAAAATAATAAAATATAATTTTTTATCAAATTTTAATATAGTGTTTGATGTAAAATATTTGAGAGTGAAAATATTGATTTCGATTCATACTTTTAAAATATCTTTTAGTGATATAACAAAATTTTATTTAATGTATTTATTTTTGTAAAAGTATATATATATATATATATATATATATATATATATATATATATATATATATATATATATATATATATATATATATATATATATATATATATATATATATATATATATATATATATATATATATATATATATATATATATATATATATATATATATATATATATATATATATATATATATATATATATATATATATATATATATATATATATATATATATATATATATAAAAGAAAATATTTTTGAAAGTTTTTATAAACTATATTATATTTTTGAAGCTCCTTAAATTATATTTTTATTCTTAATAGAAAAGTTACTTTTTTTATAAACAGTTTTTTTTGGGCTATACTTCTGCTTTAAAGTAGAAGTTAAATCAACAAAAATTTCAATCAAAGGATACTTTTCTATAAATTCAACATTTTTAATTTAATCTCAGATTTAAATATTTTATTGAAGTATACATATTTTGTGATGTGACATGTTTGATTAGATTAAAAATTTAAATTTGTTCTTTTAAATCATAATTATTTTATTTTTTTGAATTTGAATTTGTTGATTCAGATTCTTATAAATCTCATCATGAAAAAGTTAAAAATACAAATTTAGAGGAGAAAACAAGTGATGAACGAAGAAAATGGTGAAGGTGTTTTGAATCGGTCATATTTTTTTTGGACCGGTTACTTTGAGATAATTCGTTCGAATTAAAATCTCTTGATCGACTATGCTGGCATGTTTCTAGAATTCTCCTTATTATAGGACTATCATATACTTTGACGTATGACTCACACTTAAGGTACATTTAAAGGTCATTCGCATTCCACGTTACACACCCACTCCACCGCAACCCTACTCCACCACAACTTTTGTATCTTCCTCTATTTCTGGTTCTAGAACAGAACAATAGCGTCGTCTTTGGGAATAAGTTTTTATTCTCACGCCCTCTATGACTCTCCATCTATGTATTCAGTTTTTGTGTGAAGTTCTCTTCAACCTCTGAACGGAGATCTAACAAATCGAACACAAAACTTAGTCGTGTTCGATCAATTAGAACTACACGCTAATTACGACTTACCGATTTTCTAAATCTCCGATTCTTCGTATCTCTTACCTCTTCAACCCTTGAAAATGGTTGGATATAGAGCTATTTGTTCTGCTACTATGCACAAAGTCGCTCTAACTGCTACCGACGTAGTACCGAAAATCATCAATCAACTAAACACCACTCCTCCTCCTGGAAAAATGAATTTCGACATTGACATTCCTCTGTGGCCATATCTATTATTTCCTTCTTCAAGAATAATAATTGTTTAAGCATCACCTCTTGGAGTTTCATCTCCTCTTCATATTGAGCGACATGAGATATCGCATGGTTTCAACATTCTCTAAGCAAACCTATGCGCTTGACGCGCGAACAAGTTTCTCAATGGTATCTACAACATTGTTTAGCAACAAAACTCAGAGGCAATGGAGGAAATATTCCTTCGTTTAGAGGAAAGCCTCCATCATGTTCAACCCTGAGCAAACTCAATTCAAGAGGTCGTGTCTAGGATAAATTGTTTCATCAAGCAGGAGCCGTCTGTGACCAAGCAAAGAAAAGTCCAGAAGTTGAAAGACTATTCAAAAGGAGAAAAACATAATTCCCCTCCTCGGAGCCTGAGCAAATACCGAGACAGTCATGCTCCATCCCCGAATCAATGAGAACACCAGTCGACTAGGGTGCAGCCTAAACATTCCTTATGTGCCCAGATATTAGAAAGCAAGATCCCTAAGTCAATGCAAAAGTCTCCCAAATTATGGAGAGTGCAATGGAAAAGAAGACCCTGACAAACACGTTCAACTCGTCAATAATCGGCTCAACTACTACACTATCGACGAAGCTTCCAAGTGCAAGCTACTAGCATTAACACTGGTCAGACCAGCTAGATTTTGGTTTGATAGTCTCCCCAACAATTGAATTGAGTCATGGGCGGACTTTTGCGACCGCCTCACTGCCCACTTTATCGCCCAAAAGAGGCAATCGATTACTATAGTTGCCTTGAGCAGCATTATGCAAGGAGCAAAGGAGAGCCTATGGTCGTACATCAATCAATTCAGCCAGGTTATAGTAAAAGTAGACGAAACTGAAGAAGCCCTCCAATGCTGGATCTTCGAGAATGGCCTCCTCTGCGACCATTCTTTCTGCACCAAACTGGGAAAGAAGAAGGTAAAGACAACTCATGAGATGATGAACTTAGCCCACCCATACACTGCGTTGGAAGATAGGTTGAATACTCGCTTTGAAAACCAGACCTTGGCCCTCGATGCAAGCTCCGACCGACCATCTAAGAAGGAATCTCGTTGGCAGAAAGAGGATATTCACAGGGGGATATATTGTTGGTATGATAAGTACACACCTTTTAATACTTAGCAGGATAAGATTTACAATCCATGAGTCTTCTCAGACATATAAATTAGAGTACTACCACTTCTACGGAGGACACGACCATAATACGGATAAATGTGTCCAACTTAAGGATGTGATTGAAGCGTTAATTAAGAAAGGCCGATTGTTCGAGTATGTCAAGGGCGATAAGCAGACCGAGAATAATATTTAAAGACCAAGTCCCCTACCAAGGTTTGTGAAGTCGTTCCCAACAGCAAAAATAGATAAACTAGCAAGGGAAACACATGTATATCGCTACCATCATTGGCAATGCACCCTAGGAAAACCTCTCTTCCAAAGGAATAATCAAAGTGAAAGTAGCTGAGATAATGGTCGTATACATAAACAAAGGAAGTTCATCATCAAAGATCCCCGACCGACCTATTTTAGGGTTTCAAGACTCTAAGAAGGTTGATGAATTTCTAATGAATTTTTTACCCTGGTAATCACGGCTATTGTAGGAAAATTTGATGTTTCACTGATTTTCATTGATGGAGGAAGTCCGTGCAATATCCTATATTTGTTGTTGTTTGAAAAAATGGGCCTGGAGGGGAAGCCTAATACCATACAACGGCTCAGATTTGCAAGCATTTAACGGGACAACTACTCGTCTCTGGGGATATGTGGAGCTAATGGTACATGTAGGGGAGGAAAAGACCTTTGTTCAATCAACACTTAGTTTCTGGTTATCTCGTGTAGAAGCCTCTAGAAATGTATTATGGGTAGGCCCTTCACAGCAACATTGGACGTCCTAGCCTCGAATGTGCAGTTGAATCTCAAATACCACAATCTCTATAGAGAACCAGTTATTATGCATGCCAACCTTGAAGCGGCCAAAAGATGCATCATGAGCTTTAGAAGGACCAAGCAGAAGGATTTGCAATGGAATTTAATGTGGCATCCCCTCACCTGTCAACTTCAAAGCATGAACCTTTGCATGCCCAGACGTGGCTAAACAAAGGGCAGGCCAACAATATAAATAAGAGACGGAAAATCTGCTCTATTTTGCTTTATATATTTTTTATTTTCACGTCCATATGTGTATATCTATGTAAACTTCTACATAGCTTATATGAACAATAGTTTGTTATAGATGAAATTAGACAAAGTTTGGAACGCTTGTTCCTTTGTGATTATATAAACCAATGATGAAATTAAGGTACAACTGATGCAGTTGAGGCCCTAAATAAATATTTCGGGGTGCTG